GAGCTCATATGCAGACACATATCTGATAGAGTTTCTGGGTTTGGTTATAGCCAGCATCAGCGTACTGGGCACTCTGTCCGTGACGACCACCTGCTATGGCCACATCCTCCACACCATCCTGCACATCCGCTCCACCAGGGAGAGGCAGAAAGCCTTCTCCACCTGCTCCTCCCACATCGTTGTCGTGTCTCTCTTCTATGGCAGCTGCATCTTCATGTACATCCGGTCGGGGAGGGGTGGCCAGGAGGAGGACAGGAACAAGATGGTGGCGTTGCTCAACACTGTGGTGACCCCGATGCTCAACCCCTTCATCTATACCCTGAGGAATAAACAGGTGAAGCAGGTGTTTAGGGAACAGGTAAGCAAACTCCTCTCATAAAGCTGTGAAATCAAGAGGTTGATGCTAATATTTCTAGACAATTTGAATATTTCTGTTCATCCTATTTTGTCTGCCTGACTTCCGAACAAAATGTAAGTTCTTTGAGGGCAAGGATTAGCTCTGTAATTCACTGTAAGCCTCAATCATCAATACATAGTCACAAGTAATATAGATAGTAAACACTTCCAGACTGATTGATTGCTTTTTGTTTGTTTCTCAACATCCTCAGATGAGAGAGCAGTTCTCTATTAGCACTATCCTCATCTAACACTTATAGTCCCGATAGTTCTATTACAGAAATGTATCAAGAGCTCAAAAATAACTAATGTTAATTGTTTATTATTTTGCATGTTAGCTATTTATGTTTTTTAGTATTAAAATTCATAGAGCTGGGCTCGGTGGCTCAGCCTGTAATCCCGCGCCTTTGGGAGGCTGAGGTGAGTGGATTGCCCGAGCCCGCGGGTTCGAGACCCGCCTGGGCAACTTGGCGAGACCTCATCTCTATAATAAATCAAAAATTAGTTGGGCGTGGTAGCACGTGCCTGTGGTTCCAGCTACTCAGAAGGCTGAGGTGGAAAGATTGCAGGAGCCCAGCAAGTCGAGGCTGCGGTGGCCGGGAGCGTGCCACTGCACTCCAGTCTGGGTTGACTGAGTGAGACTCCAACTAAAAAAAAAAAAAAAAAAAAAATGCATATCAAAACACTATGAGATACCACTTCACACCAATTAGGATGGCTATTCCATTAAAAAAAAAAAAAAAAAAAAAAACAAGTATCAGAATGTGGAGAAATCATGTAGATTTTTTAGGAGACCTGAGAAAAACAAAAAGAATGTTGGGAAATCAGAACCCTGTGCATTGCTGGTAGAGATGTAAAATGGAGCAGCCACTATGGAAAACAGTTTGGTGATTCTTAAAATAATTAAAATAAATTTACCATATGATCCAGCAATTCTACTTCACCCAAAAGAATTGACAGTAGGGACTTGAATAGGTCTTTGTACATCCATGTTCATAGCTGCATTATTCACAATACCAAATGGTGGGAACAATATAAATGTCTTTCAACAAATGAAAGGATGAACAAAATGTGATTATATATATATATAATCATACAAATACATACAATGAAATGTTATTTAACGTTTAAAAAGAAAGGCAAATATTGTATGACTACACATATGAGGTTTCTGAAATAGTTAAATTCATAGAGAGAGAAGGTTACCAGTCCTGGTCCAAGGAGGGATGAGGAATTATTGTTTCAACGATACAGAGTTTCAGTTTGAAATGATAAAAAAAAAAAAAAAAAAAGGTTCTGCCTAGGATAGCGGTGATAATTGCACAATAATGTGAATGCACTTAATGCCACTGAAATGAATAATTTAAAGTGGTTAAAATAATAAATTGCATGGTATATATATTTTGTCCCAATTTTTAAAATGCAGGTCCCAGGTCAAAAACAAAACAAAACTATGGAATCTTTGACTCTCCTCTTTCTCTAATATCCTACAACCAATCCATTAGCAAATTCTGTGGATTATACCTTCAGAATATATGCAGAACCCTACCACTTCTTACCACCGCCACTGCTCCCATCTTTGTCCACATAACCTTCCATTTCCTCTAGTTTTCCATCTACTACCTGCTGCCCTTACCCCATCCACCACAGGTAATGGGGAGGTGAGCCTGCAGTGTTAATACAGATGAAGCCAACGAGACACACCCTTTCTCTCTGAATGTTTCTTGCCTGAAACAGACCTTAGGTGGAGGAAATATTAAGTTTTAACTTAAAATGAAGTTTGAATGTTAACGAATACATAGGGTTGGACAGTTTAATCACCCCATTATTTGGACTGATTTTTTTAATATCAATATTTTTTATTTTGATATTATAGGGTACAGTTAAGGGTTGAACTGATTGTTAATAGGAGACTTTTTTAAATATATAAGAGTAGCCATAAAAATCACTGGACCTGTCCTAGATTCCATCCAAGGGTCAAGGAAGGGTCATTGTTGAAGTTAGGTGACATCTACATTGATACATGCAGGTTCATTCTACAATTCACTTATTTTCATGTATTTGAAATTTCCATAATAAAGATTAAAACAAAGAGTTTAAAAAAACTATTTCAGACAAAAGGTAATGTGAGAGTGACCTTGGTAGTACCCATGATAATGTAGCAAAAAAACTCATGTAAGAGATGTTGCATGAACCTGCAACATCTCTAATGGGGTTAGGGTACTGAAGAAATAAAGTGGTTGGAGGGGAAAAAACACAATTGAAGGAGATCTCTAGGTACTGAGTCGAGGTTAGAAAGATGTTGCTATCACAGAAACAGAGCAATCAGTAGGAGAAGCTGGCTTAGAAGGTAGCAAGGTCAGTTCTGTTTTAGATATCTATATTGTGGGCACAACACACTTGGGACATGCGTGTTGACTGGGACAAGGAATTCTTCAAAACAGTTTCCAATGGCATTGGAATCATTGTGTAGCTGTCCTGGAATCATTGTGTAGCTGTCCATCCCTCATTCTCTTTGTTAATTTATAGCAAAGAAGATTCAAAAATTGGATTGTCATAACGGTGAGAAGAAAATTGTGCTGTTAATATTTGTAAGCTTGTCACTATCCACTTAGACAAGGAAACCTCTGTATTGCAAATCCAGGAAGTAGCAAATACTGTTTTCTGTAAGTGTGTCTGAGAATCATAAATGACATAAACTGAATTTAAAGTTTTGTGTACTCGGTGTTGGCCACTGCACAGATCAGATTTCCCTCGCTCGAAAACCTCTCTCTGCTCCCTCTGAGACCATGTCTGACAAACCCGATATGGCTGAGATCGAGAAATTCGATAAGTTGAAATTGAAGAAGACAGAAACGCAAGAGAAAAACCCACTGCCTTCCGAAGAAACGATCGAACAGGAGAAGCAAGCAGGCGAATCGTAATGAGGCCAGAGCCACCAGTATGCACTGTACATTCCACAAGCATTGCCTTCTTATTTTACTTCTTTTAGCTGTTTAACTTTGTAAGATGCAAAGAGGTTGGATCAAGTTTAAATGACCGTGCTACCCCTTTTCACATCAAAGAACTACTGAATGAAGGCCGCACCTGCCTCTCCCATTTGCCTGTCTGGCTGGCAGGGAAGGAAAAGAGCTTGCATGTTGGTGAAGGAAGAAGAGGGGTGGGATGACAGTGAAAGCTAGAGTCAATCAAGTTGGCCCAAGGTGTCCTGCAGGAGGTAAAATGCAGTTTAATCAGATGCCATTTTTTTGTTCAAATGATTTAATTATTGGAATGCACAATTTTTAAAATATGCAAATAAAATTTTAAAACCTGAAAAAAAAAAATAAATAAATAAAGTTTTGTGTATAAACCAGTCATGCTGAGCATGGTGGCTCATGCCTGTAATCTGAGCATTTTGGGAGGTGGAGGCAAGAGAATTGCCTGAACACAGGGGTTCAAGACCAGCCTGGACAACTTGGCTAGACTTTGTCTTTACAATAAATCAAAAAATTAGCCAGGAATACACGAGCCTGTAGTTGCAGCTACTTGGAATTTTGAGGTGGATTGCCTGAACCCAACAGGTTGAGGCTGCAATGGCCATGCGCCTGCCACTGCACTCCAGCCTGGACGACAGAGTGAAACTCTGCCTGCTAGGTATATATCAAAAAAAAAAAAAAAAAAAAAAAATCAGTATGTCAAAGAGATATCATGTTTACCACAGCATTATTCACAATAGCCAAGATATAGAATCAACCTAAATGTGTATCAGTGAGTGAATGGAAAAAGAAAATGTGGTATATATACATGATGAAATACTATTCAGACATGGAAAAAGAAGGAAATCCTGTCATTTGTGACAATATAGATGAAACCAGTTAGTGAACCTTCACTATGTTAAGTTAAATAAGCTAGGCAAAGAAGGACAAATTCAGCAGTCTCACTCATATGTGGAATCAGAAAAAGTTGATCTAACAGAAACAGGGAGTAGAATGACAATAAATGGAGACTGGAATGTTTGGTGGGAAGGGGGAAATATTGATCAAAGGATACAAAATTTTAGTTAGATAGGAGGAATAAGTTCAGTGATCAATTGTACAACTTGGTGACTATAGTTGATAATGTATTATACTATTGAAAAGTATTAAGAGAGTGGATGTAAAGCATTCTTACAATAAAAATGATAATTATGGGAGGTCATGCATATGTTAATTAGCTAGATTTAGTTATTCCACAGTGTATACATGCTGCAAGATACCATACTACACAGTAAATACATACAATTTTATGTCAGCTGTTAAAATAATACATAGAAAATTTTAAAGTTTAAAAAAGTCTTCATCAGTAGAGAGCTCAAGATCAAACATTATAGGAGGTATGAAACCCATTATCCATCCAGGTATTGGATGCTCCACCATAAAACTTCAAGAATATGGGCCAGAATCCAGAGGAGAAATGTTTTAGTTATCTATTGCTGTGTAACAAATTACCCATAAACTTAGCCCCTTGAAATAACAAGCATGTATTATATCACACTTCCTGAGTTAAGAATCCAGGCATGTCAGACTCGGTGGCCCAGCCTGTAATCCCACGCTTTGGGAGGCTGAGGTGAGTGAATTGCCTGAGTCCACAGGTTCGAGACCCGCCTGGGCAACTTGGCAAGCCCTCATCTCTACAATAAATTAAAAACTTAGCCGGGCATGGTAGCGCGCGCCTGTAGTTCTAGCTCCTTGGAAGGCTGAGGTGGAAGGATCGCTGGAGCCCAGCAGGTCGAGGCTGCGGTGGCCGGCAGCATGCCACTGCACTCCAGTCTGGGTGACAGAGTGAGACTCCAACTCAAAAAAAAAAAAAAAAGAAGAATCCAGGCATGACTTAGCTGGGTGTCTCTGGCTCAGGATCTCTTTCAAGGCTGTAAAAACAGAGTGGTCTGGGACTATAGTCATCTCAAGGCTCACCTTAGGAAGGATCTGCTCCCGAGCTCACCCATGTGGCTACTGATAGGCC